GGCGCACCCACAGGGTCCTGTTGGGAAACGACAAATGTAAAGGCCTGAAGGGTGAGAAGCAAGCACTTTTTTTTTTTAAAGGTTTTATTTATTTACTTGGCAGAGAGAGAGACAGTGAGAGAGGGAACGCAAGCAGGGGGAGCGGGAGAGGGAGAAGCAGGCTCCCCGCCGAGCAGGGAGCCGGACGCGGGGCTCAATCCCAGGACCCTGGGATCATGACCGGAGCCGAAGGCAGACGCTTAACGACTGAGCCACCCAGGCGCCCCTGTGTATCGTTTTTTTAAGATTTTATTTATTTGAGAGAGTGAGAAAACAAGCAGCGGGGAGGGGCAGAGGGAGAGGGAGAAGCAGGCCTCCCGCTGAGCAGGGAGCCCGACGCGGGGCTCGATCCCAGGACCCCGGGATCACGACCTGAGCCGAAGGCAGACGCTTCATGGACGGAGCCAGCGGGGCGCCCGAGGTTGTGGGGTCACGGAGCCTCGCGAGAGCGCTTTGCACGCTCTAAGCCTCTGTGCAAATGTAGTCACCACAGAAGCATTGGTGCGAGAAGAAGTAGGATTCAGGCGTGCAAAGCCGTGGAAGGGCTGGGACATTAGGAAAGGCTGCGTGAAGGGCCTGGCGGAGTGGGTAGGGCTCTCACAGGCAGCAAGGGGCGGGGGGAGGGCCTTGCAGGCGGAGAACACAGCGTGAGGAAGGCACGGACATGGGGACACACGCGCACGCGCACCGAGGAGCGCGTGGCCTAGGACACGGGTGCGGGGCCGGACGCGCCCCAGGGGTTTAGGTAGGGCGGACCACGTCCTTCTCTCGGCAGCCTTGTGCTGTGGGTTCTGTGATTATCACCGTGTTACAGACGAGAACTTGGGGCTCAGACCGGTTTGAATAGGCTGTCTGAGGCCGCAGAGCTGGGGAGCAGCAGTGGGTACTCCGCCCCGGGCCACCCCGAGGCCTCGAATGCCCGACTAAGGAGTGCGGTTGCTGTGTCGCAGGCAGGGGTTGGGGGAGTGATAGGCTCTCGCCGTGTGGCTGGGACACCCCCAGAGCAGCAGAGTACCTGGAGCTACCGCGCGGGTCCGGGGGGCAGGACACCCGAGCGCAAACTCGCGACAGGGCGGAGGGCTTGTCTGCCGAGAGAAAACCGCCCTAGCGGGGACACGGGCCCTTGCAGCTACACGGAGGTTGCCAACAACGTGCAGAAGGAGGAGACGGTGCTCAATGTCCAGTTCGTGCTGCTGGACTGCTCCCACCTCAAGTTCTCGCTGGTACAGCATTGCAACGAGTGGCAGAACAAGTTCACGACCCTGCTCAAGGAGATGGCGGCCCGGCGCCTCCTGGAGCTCCACGCCTACCTGCAGGACAACGGGGACAAGTAGGGGCTCCTCCAGGGGGCGGCGGGGGCGGTGGGGGCGGGGCGGGGCAGGAGGCCCACCCGCGTGCTCTCTGCCTGCCCTCAGAATCAGCCACCCTCCCCAGACGCTGGAGGAACTGGGGGTCAGTTTGCAGCTCATGGAGACCCTGCAGCACGACCTGCCCAACCTGGAGACCCAGATCCCCCCCATCCACGAGCAGTTCACCATTCTCGAGAAGTACGAGGTGCCGGTTCAGGAGAACGTGAGTTCCTGGGGCGTGCCATCCACCGGGGTCGGGCCCATGGCAGCAGTGGCTCGGGGAGAAAGTTAACCCCCACGTCGTAGGCCCTGGGCCGCCAGGAAGAACGGCAGAGGAGTGAGCTGGGCGGAAGGCGCAAGACCCCGAGGCCTCGGAGAGCCAGAGAACTCAAATGATAGTTTGGGTCGGCTTATGGATTTCTCTTAGGCCCTAAGACTCTGGTCCACAGGGTCAGAAACAAGGCCCTAAGAGCATGGCTGCAGATAGACCCCCTGCTCATGGGTCATCGTCCCCTCCTTGATGTCCCCAGGTCCTAGAGATGCTGGACCATCTCAACGGGGAGTGGGTCATCTTCCAACAAATCCTGCTGGATAGTGAACAAATGCTGAAGAAACACAAGGAGAAATTCAAGACAGGCCTCATCCACTCAGCGGACGACTTCAAGAAGAAAGCGCATAATCTCCTGGAAGACTTTGAATCTAAAGGTACCTCTTTCTCGAGCTCTCCCCCTCTACCTCTGTGTTGACCCAGTGTCTCAAAGCCTCGGCCCCCAGGAGGTAGGGAGAAGGTTGAGCAGAGGAAGGATGCTGCTGGGGAGAGGGGATGAAGGCCTGGTGCTTTTGGTCGCACTGCCCAGCTCACAACATTTCCAGTTTTCTTTCTTTCCCGTGACCCACCCGGTTCTGATTCTCACACCACATGTAGGAGTTTTTGCTAAAGTGAATCATCATCCTTGCAATGCATTCCCTCATTTTCCTTCCTGCCCCCGTCGGGTGAGGAGAGAAGGGAGATTTGCCCACAAAGAGGTAGGACGACCATGACGGTCCTTCCAGGGGACGATGGCTTTCACCTTGGATTTCCCACAGGCCCCTTCACCAGTAACGTGGGACATCAGGCAGCCTTGGAGCAGATCGCCCAGGTGCGGGCCATGCTGAATGCCATGCGGGAAGAAGAAAACAGTCTCCGCTCCAACCTGGGCATCTTCAAGATCGAGCAGCCAGCCTCCAAGGACCTGCAGAACCTGGAGAAGGTGGTGTGCTGGGCTAGGCCCTTGTGCTGAGCAGGGATGGGGGCCGGGGGCAGGACCAGGAAGATGGGAGCACGAGGACCTTTAAAAAAAAAAAAAGGAGGTAAAATTCAGATAACAAAATAACTGTTTTTTAATAAAGATTTTATTTATTTATTTGACAGAGAGACAGTGAGAGAGGGAACCTCAAGCAGGGGGAGTGGGAGAGGGAGAAGCAGGCTTCCCGCAGAGCAGGGAGCCCGATGCGGGGCTCGATCCCAGG